AACAGCCACAAGATCCCAAAGAGTATCGGCCTCAACAGGACATTGACAAGCACCACTACATGAGCATTTGGAGAACCACAGCATGGAAACTTTTCCAGGCCAAGTACAATCTGACTTTGACATCTTTTCAACAGGGGGCATTTGGCCACCCAAAACCGAAACCCACCACTTTTGCTCACAATCTACAAGGTTTTGAGGAGTTGGAAGGTGCCAAAGCAGTATATGAAAATCCAGATCCTGGCTGGCGAGATCGTCCTCTTGAAGAACGTATTCAAGAATCTGCGACGTGGGCACAGTGGGCTCCAGGGTTGAAGGCTGCCTTGATTGAAGGCTTGAAGAGGCAGTTCAAGAGAAGGGATGCTGGGCGCTGTCACATCGGGGCACCGGGCAATGCGGAGGAGGCAACCTGGGACTCTGATGATGATAGCTCAAAGCCCATGCATCAGCAGCCCCAACTCTGTCCCCTGTCCGCAGTTGCATTGACAAAATGGAAAGCTCACATCCTGAACGACCACCAGCCCATGAGAAGAGACTGCAGAGTCTGTGTGGAAGCTGCAGGCCAGTCTCGACATCACCGACGAATCCAACATCCAAGTGCCTATTGTTTTTCAATGGACTTGTCCGGCAAGATGAAGCGTGGCAAAGACCAGTTTGGCTCTGCCGGCGCATACATCCTGATTGGCTGCTACACATTCCCAACTACACTGGATGATGTTCCCCTTTGCGGCCCAGATCAACAACGACCACCAGAGGATGCTCCGCTACCAAGCTTGGGTGAGGTAGTGGATGAAGATGGTGTGGATGGTGATGTGGAGGATGGAGAGCTTCCACGTTTTGAAGCTGACGTGGAGGATCAACCATGTGAGGAGGATGATGCCGCAACTAACCGGGCCAAGACGGCTTTTGACAGCTGGATGAAGTTGGTGGAAGAGCATAAGCAGGTCAAGGTCAAGACTTTGACTTTTGCGGAAGTCATCACCTCAAGAGCTACAGGCCATGTCTTGGAAGGTTTGGCAAAGATATACGCCAAAATCAGGAGCCTGGCACTTCCAGTTCTACGGCTGCATGCCGATAGGGCACGAGAGCTGACATCAAAGGCCATCCAGGCGTGGTGCCACAGTCGCGACATTGTAGCGACATACACCTCTGGCTCTGATTGGAAAAGCAATGGGAGGGCAGAAAATGAGATCGGCATTGTCAAGCGACATGCAAAAATTTTGATGCGGGCGCATAACATCAATGAGGAGCGATGGCCCATCCTTGTGAAGCATGCCGCAGAGCGACGTTTGCGATGGCAACTCCAACAAGTTGGCTATCCTGTGCCTGATCTCTTGCCCTTCTACACCAAGGTTCTGGTCAAACGAAAGTCCTGGAATCAAAGATATGCTGCATGGAGGTGGGAACGTGCCCCTGGCCGTATTTGTGGCCCTGATCCATGGTCATCTCTGACATCAGGTGGGTACTGTGTGCAGCTTGAAGATGGGACTTTCTTGGCATCTACAGATGTGGTGGTGGAACAATCAGAACTGGGGGAGGGACTCACATTGGATCTGGTAGTGCAAGAGCGACTTCAAGCTCCTGGTGAACAACAAATTTCTGAAATTCCCAAGCGTCGTTTGCGCTTCAAACAAGGAGTTCCTCAAATGGCTCGCTTGGAGTTGGGTTCCAACTCGGGGGAGAAGGTTGATGTTCAGGCCAAGTGCAACAGCGAGTGTGATCATGTTGAAGTCAAGCGACTTCTCAAAATGCATCAAGAGACTGCAAAGGTCTTGTCTGAGGAATGTGTTCTTGTGGACGACTTGGATCCTGAACAAGCAGCTTGCATCCCAGCGTTGGCAATGTTGGCTAATCAAAAGTTCGATTTGGAACTTCAGCTGCGAGCTCTGGACTTGGAAAAGAAGCACAAGGAGGAGGAAGAGAATTTCTTGGTGACAAAAACCATCACCACTGAGCAGGTCTACAAAGAATGGGATGATTGGAAGTTTGCCATGATGAGCGAATACACATCCATTGTGGAGGAGAAGAAAGCTGTGCGACAAGTGAAAAGATGTGAAGCACAGCGCATGGCAACGGAGAGCAACATCAAGTACGAGGAGCTTCCAAGTAAAGTGGTGTTCACGAGAAAGATGGGTGGAAAAAGGAAGGTGAGAGCATGTATTTGTGGCAACTATGAGAATGAAGTTGCCACTGCCACATATGCTGGAGGTTGTGACGCATCACAGATCCGATGCCTCATTCGTCATGCAGCACTGGAAAAATGGGCCCTGTACGGGACTGACATCAAATGTGCCTTTCTGAATGCGGAGCGCAAAGACCGCACCAAGCTGATTGCCATGTCTATCCCCTACATCTACGTCAAACTTGGACTTGCATCACATCAAGATGTTTGGTTGGTCGATGCTGCTATGTATGGCCTAGTGGCCAGTCCACGTGACTGGTCAGACCATCGAGATGAAACGATTCCGAACATGGTGTGGCAAAGGGAGGAGGATGGCAAGAAATGGAAGGGCACCTTCAAGAGGGCTGCGGATCAACACCTTTGGCATTTACAAGAGGAGTGTCTGGAATCGGGGGAGGTTTGCAAACGTGGTCTCATGGCTATATACGTTGATGATGTTCTCCTTGCTGCAGGAGATCCTGTCGCAACTTGCGCTCTCAAAGCAATAGCTGAAGTTTGGGAGTGTGCTGAACCAGAAAGGGCGACTCTGGAAAAGCCGGTATCTTTTTGCGGCTTTGAAATCCAACAGAACAGCTCTGAGCGTGGCGGAGGTTTTAGACTTCATCAGCATAGCTATGAGGAGGAGCTCATCAAGAAATGGGAGGTTCATCAAAGCTCATCACAGGTGGACTTCAAACTTCCTCTACCTGAAGAAGAAGCAGAATTTGTCAAGTCTGAAAACTTGGACTTGGTGCGCCGTGCGCAAGCTTGCACTGGTGCCTTGCTTTGGCTTGCGACTCGAACCAGACCGGAGCTGTCTGTGGGTGTCGCTGCTATGTCAAGACTCTGCACGAAGGCTCCAGAGATTACCATTAATCTGGGCTTGAAGATGATGAGCTACTTGAAGCGACCATCACATGGAATGATCTATGCTGACCAACCAGGTCCAGTTCATGGAGCACGTGGTCAACTGAGCAAGCCAAGATGTGTGCGTACGGTAGAGGCTTTTTCTGACATCTCCTACGCGTCAACGAAGGGGTACAAATCTCTTCAAGGCCAAGTCTACTACTATGCTGGTGCACCGGTGATGTGGAACACTAGCAGGCAACCATTTCCAACTCAATCAACTGCCGAAAGTGAGCTGGTCAGCCTTTGTGAGGCACTGGTTGGTGGCAGAGCTACAGCAGCTTTGATCGCAGCCATTCGAGATGAACCTCCTGAGAAGTTGGTCAAGCGACTTTGGGGAGACAATGCTGCGGCCATTAGCTTAGCCACAGGTGAAGGCCAAGGGAGTTGGAGAACGAGGCATTTGCGCATCAGAGCGGCGATTTTGAGATCTGCGCTGCGCCACAATGAGTGGGACTTGGGACATCTCCTGGGTCGTGAGCTGGTGGCGGACTCCTTCACCAAGATTGTCACTGGCCCTGCGTTTGAGAAGGCGCTGCAAGATCTTTGCATAGCCTCTGATGAGCTCAAGGCGCATGGCGATGGAGCGGGCATGCGACATGATCAAATGAATGCAAAAATAGCGATGTTGTTGGGAGCAACGCTGTTGTCTGGCGCTGCTGCAACAAGTGATGAGGAGGGTGATGACCAGTTGTCCTGGCTTTGGGTCGTTGGCTTAATCCTGATGTGCGTGGGAGCAGTCTATGTGAGCGACAAGATGGTCCGAAGTGGCATGTGGCTCTATAGAAGACTGATAGGGGCATCGGGCAGCCAAGTTGATGTGATGTCCAAAGGACGGCCACCGTCACCTAGCATCAGTATGTTGCAGTGGAGCAGTAGCAGTGAGGATGAGAGAGAGCGAAGGGCAGAAATGAATGCACAGAGGGCCGCCTATGCGCAACAGGCTGATGTCGATGAACTTCGGGCCATGGTGGCGCAAAGTCGGCGTATCCAAGAAGATCCCCACAACAAAATGCATGGCAGAACTCCCGAGATGTATGAGGACACGTCTCAATTGCCGAGACGACGCAAAAAGAAGGCGGAGAAGAAACAACGGGATCCAGAGGCTGAAGAAGCGGCAGTAGAAAGGGCACATCGTGATTTGATGAATCACCTGGGAAACATTGGTGGAGGACCATTTTCACGGCGGAGGTCATCACGATCGGGCTCTGGCGTTGCTGCAGCATCTTTTGCTCCTGGGTCGATGGAATTTGGCTACGGAGAACCGAGCTATGTTGCAGCTTCATCAAATCAGAGCGCATTACGTTCGGGCTCTGGAGTTGCAGCTTCATCAAATCAGAGCGCATTACGTTCGGGCTCTGGAGTTGCAGCTTCATCAAATCAGAGCGCATTACGTTCGGGCTCTGGAGTTGCAGCTTCATCAAATCAGAGCGCATCACGTTCGGGCTCTGGCTTTGCATCTTCATCAAATCAGAGCGCATCACGTTCGGGCTCTGGCATAGCATCTACTTCAAATCAGAGTGCAATGCCATCGGGCTCTGGTGGTGCTGTGGTGGCGTCTGTGGGAGATGAGCGGCGTAGTGAAGGTTCCACTAACCGGTGGAACGAATTCCAACATGAACACAGCGGGCGTAGCTGGGGCTCTGACAAGTTCAGAGCTGAATACTGGAAGTATAGAGCCACAGGGCAAAAGCCAAAGTAGCTTAGGGATAAATTCGTGAAGATCAATCCGAATGCCTTGGGTCAATTCAGCCTATTTTCTTTTGGCATCATATTTTGATATTTTTCTCAGTACTCCCTGAGAAAAAGGGGGAGTCTGAATGTGATTGCAGGTTGACGCGATTTGCCATGTGCTTGGCAAGTGTAGTATCTGATCTTATCACTCGTGAGGCATTTCAATTCGAGACCAAAAAGGCCTGTGCCTTGCCCTGTTGAACTAAGCCTCCAATTCTACTTCCATCTCCCATGGTTGGCCATCTTTGGGTGGAAACAATGGCATGTGCTCAAATTTGGCAACAGTGTCAGTCATGGACTTGAATTGCCAATGCTTCAAATCACCTTTCTGGTGGTAAAATTGGTTCTCTTCCATGCCCCACTTCCTTTTGGCAATCAACTTGGCATCATGGCTCTCCTGGCAGCAAACATGTTTCAAAAAGAAATTTGACAAGAAGGATGGAAGCACTGTGTGCTGGGTACCATATTTCAATTTATGGAAACACAAGGCACACTCCTGAAAAGACTCTGGCACCTCTTGCTCTGCAGTGGAAGAAGAGGTGGGGGCTCCAGTGTTGCTGCCATTGAGAAGATCATGAAGTCCTTGGGAAAATTTGCTGCTGATCTCACCCAAATTTTCAGATTGGATGTCATCCCTGGACTTGTGTTGCTTCTTGGTGACATAGAGTATGGACCGGGCCAAAAACCTGGCAAAGAGAGTTTTTCCATTTGTGGCGGCATGGAGGCCATGCTTCTGGAGAGTGGTGTATGCATGGGCCAGGTTGGCTTCACAGCTGGTCAAGTTGGCTCTCATGGCTGGTGTCTTGCTTGTCAACGCCACTTTTGTGAAGCAACTTACCTATGCCAACCTTACAAATTGGACTTTGAAGGTTGGCAGCTAAAAGGCCAGCTCTGGTCCATGGAAAAGTGGTGGACCTCTCCTTGAAATCCATGAAGGCAATGGTGGTCATGAAATCTTCCCCAATGGTCAAGGTGTTGGTGAAGGCTTTGCCTGCAAACGCATTTGTGAAACTGGACATGTAAAAATGCACAGTTGGCATGCCTAGCTGAACATTGCAAACAAGCCATGTGCTATATGTAGCCAAGGTGCTCACATGGGCCAACACATGAATGTTGTCAAAGTTGGTAACACCACTATATTTCTGGACATAATGGCCGGCAGCAATATAAGGCATGCACTTGGGTTTGGTGCTCTCTGCAAGCTGCAATGCCTTCTTTAAGTCATTGGTGTGGGCATAGTTGCTGGCCATGGGTGCCATAATCTCAATCTCTGTTTGTTTCTGGGCAATCCCATGGGAGGAATTCAAAGCTGCTTGGACCAGCTGTGGCAAATCTGGGAAGGTTTCTTCCACTTGCGACACAATGATGTCCCATGGCCAGCCTTCTGTGCACATGGTGTGGAATGGGTTCTGGTTCCCTTGGCTTCCACAACAGGCTTGCAGGTTAAGGTTGCCATTGTGGGAAATGGCAGTAAGTTCCTCATTGGAGGTGGTGCAGCCATGGAGCGCAGCCTTGCAAAACTGGCTCAAATGGCTGCTACCCAAACTGAGAAACCTTTCCTGGCCACTTGGTGGGCACAAAGTGCCCTCTGATGCATGCGCAATGGTTTCATTGGCAGCAATCTGGCTTTTCTTCTCGGCCATCTGGTTGGACAGTTCTTGGCTTGGATCTTTCTCAGACCTGGCCCAATGGCCAATATTTTGGCTCCTTTCTGGTGGCAGCCATGGTGGGACAGCATGGCACCACCTCTATTGAGTGGATGGACCAAGAGCTGGGTGGGCTTCAAGGTCTGCTGGTACATCAAACCATTCTCTTGGAGCTTCTTCTGGATCTGTAGGTAATTGGTGTCAATTGGCATCATGGGGTCATCCTTGACCTTGGCGATGAACTTCTGCAGATCTTGGTCCATGGCAGCACAAAAACAAATTGGTCTGGCTACCTAACAAAAGGTGAAACATTTTCAACCATGGCACGAATTTGCAATTGCATCATATTCTGGCATGGGTGTCAAATTAAAAAATTTCTGGCATGCCATGTTGTACACATGTGAGCATTTGGAAGGCATTGGCTGTTTTGGAAGCACCAAGTGCTAGCTGCTGCCATTGGAGCAAGGTACAGCTGAACCACAACTGAAGTTACTGCAGCTTTTGAGAAGCACTGTGTGCTAAGTACACATGTGAGCATTTGGAAAGCATTGGCTGTTTTGGAAGCACCAAGTGCTAGCTGCTGCCATTGGAGCAACGTACAGCTGAACCACAACTGAAGCTTTTGAGAAGCACTGTGTGCTAAGTCTATATGGAAACAACATGTGAAACTGTTTCAATGAAAGCACTATGTGCTGAATGCATGCACATGCCTTTGCACATGAATAAATGATTGGCTTTGCAACATGGAAAACATGTTTCTGCTGCACACAAGAAGCTGTAGCAAGAAACTTTTTTCTTCTGGAATGCTGTGCTGCAAGATGATGTTGCCAGGACAATCACAAGGAAACCAAACAAAAAACACAACGCAACAACCAAAGGCTAAATGAGCTAAGTTGGCTAAGATCTTAGCCCACTTATCAATCTTAGGTTAAATCTTAGCTAAAGTTGTTAAATTGGCTAAGAGCTAACAAGTATTTAACAATAGTTAAGCAATGAGATAACAACATACAAGCTTTGCTTTAACATGCATCTAGCTAAGATGGATAAAGCTCTTAAACCACTAGCAAGGAAGGGTCCTTCTCAAGCAGGGGCTCAATAACCTTCTCCCCGACCTCCTCCCGCCCCGAACCCACGGAACACAAGCCGTCCAACCCACACCAAACCAACTCATTCGACCCAAATCATTCCACTAAATTATATACAACTCCGCCTCTCTGCTTCCACCGCAGAAATCACACGTTCACCTGCTTCTTCCCACCTCCCCCATGTTGTTTTTCTGTTTGCTTTTCGCCTGGCATCAATGGCTGCCATACCTTACAAACCCCCGTGAGTCTTCATGCTGCACTGTGGACCTAGCTGGCACGGCAGGCAAGCAAGGGTGACCAAAAATGTGTCTGATATGGATTGATTTTCCCAACATGTTGAAAGCGAAACCAATAAAAAGCCTGTCCGAAACTAGCCATGAAAACCGTGACCGAATTTCAGTTGGAATTGGCGAAATTTAGCTTACTGGGGGCACCAACAAGCACTGGTCGGCGTGATGCTGGGGATGCTAAGGAAACATCATGATTCATGAACGGCCCGACCTTCCCGTGACTGTATACAGGTTTCTTGTCACCGTTGAGCCAAGGTGGAGCCCCGAGGTGGGGGAACGAGAAGGCAAAGCAAAAAGACATTTGTCTTTATCTTTATGTTAATTGTAATTTCTATTTTTAGGGCTTGGTGCCATATTTGTTTTTAATGGGATGAGAACAGCATGAAAGTAACATAAAATAATTGAATCATTACCAGCGGGCAAATGTCGACAGGCACGCCTCGACTGTCTGTGCCACGACCGATGCGCCGATGCGTAATTCCAGATTAAAACTGGGTCAGGCCGACCAGGAACAAAAACAACATGTGGTTCAAAAAACTAGACGAACTATGCCGCCGTACAAACAGACCTAGGAAACAAATCAACCATGACATCTGAATTGGAGAAAGATTAGGCTTGGTCCCAAAGAATCGCTGCTTTCACTGCGTGCGAGTCGCATGTTGCAATCACGTCAAACCAACTCGCCATGACTACCGCCATGGACGTCATGTGTTTCATATCGACCCTCTTTGTGTTTTTTTTCCCTTCGACCATCCGACTCCTTTCCGTTTTAAAAGGACGTCAGGGGGAACCAGGAGGTCAACGCAGAACTGTAGTAAACGCTGCTTTTGCATAAACCATTCTGCGCGCGGGGTGTCAACAACAGGGTGGTATTGGGCTCACTTTTTAAACAGAACCTGAAAGGCTGCAGCGTAGCACGTGTTGAGCTACAAACGTTCGACTAGGTGAAAAACAAGTTGTGAAACTGAAGCACACAACTATACTGACTAGAAGTTGCAGCCTTTACCTGTGCTAACCTGGAAACCTTTCCTACAAACGCTCGCACGCCCCTTAAAGGTTGGGACTTGGAGTACACACGCGCCGCGCTCAAAGGCGTGTGCCTGATGTCTTTACGCGTGCCTGAACTGCCTCACCCCAAGGCAATGCCTGAGGAAGGCGTTGTAAGGGTTTGAGCTGTGACCCCTGACAAAGATTGTAGGATACACACTTCTAGCGCATCAGCGGCGATTGCAAAATTTGGTTTCCATGGCGTTTCGGATTTTGGTTTCGGACGCTGGGCCAACAAGGCAGCCACGAGTTCAATTTGTTCGGCAGTTTCCAGTAAGGGTTGCAAATCTGACCTACTGAAATCAACCATGCCTAAGTCCTGAACGCACTGCTCTTTGAATTTGGCATCCAAATGCGTTGTGAGGCAGTTCGACGGATTTGGATTTGACGTGCCAAGGACCTTGCCTACCTTCAGCTGCTTTTGGTACACCAAATCTTGGACATAGAGGGCCGCCACGTCGATGTGTCGCATGCGGGCACCTGCGCCCAACCGTTTTGATGTTTGCAACGCGGTACTTGCATCTGTCCAAGCGTGAGGGGTGGCCATTTTCAAACCAAAATCGCCTTCACCAAGCTGTTTGATGAACATGACATCCCTAGCACCTCTGCCAAAGGCGCGCGCTTCGGCTTCTCCGGACGATGTTGCGGGGAGTCCGGGCTGAGTTTGCGGGTGCACGAAGACTACATATAGCCATGCGAAACTGGAACGCCGTGTGTCCAAGCATCCTGCCCAATCCGAATCTGTAAAACCATCGACGGTCATCACACCGGAGGCCTTACTTTCGGGGTTCAGGGCCACTACTCTAGCCAAGTTGGGTTTGTACAACAAGTAGCGTCCTAGTGTGAGAAGGTTTTCCTAATCCACTTCGCGGGGTTCCTTCATATGTCGTGCTAGTTCCTTTACTTTGAACTTGATGTCCTTACGATCTATGCTCAAATAGATTGCGCTTCCAATACATTTGCGGTATTTGATTGCCCGTTCTTGATCTACTACATTGGGTGTTGGACTCTGTGCGGGGGATTTTCCGTCCTGCGACTCTCGACGGCTTGGCATGCCAGAGGTCGAGGAGTGTGAGGATGTTGTCGCGGTGTTTGGCTTCAGGTAGCGTGAAGAAAGCATCATGCGTCTGCACCTTCGTGCGCCCTAACACGTTGACTTTCGTTCCTGGCGTTTCAACCTTCCCAACCTTCATTGTGGATAGTGGGTAGGTTAGGTTGGCACAGAGCTCATTAGGAAGCATGCCAGGTTTTCCGTGATGTCCTGGGTTGAGTGCCCTGTGAGGAATGTTGTGCCCGGTTCGTTTTGGCTAAGATTCAGGAGGGATTTGAATTTCTTGGACAACAGAAAATCTAGATCGGCGGCGGCGGCTCCTACACGCAGGTCTACACTGTGGGGTCACGCTTGCCTCGTTGGAAACTGTATCCTTTTGTGGCCATCTTTTCCGTGACAAGCTGCTCGAACTCTTTCCTGTAGTTGCTACCGGCTGGGCGTCTACCGTATAGATTCCCGACCAATTCCAACACCACATCCTTGAATAGGCCAATCAAACCTCCTTTGCACATCAGGGGGCTGAGTGCGGAGCCATGCTTGAAAATGCTGCTGGTACTCTGGGGGGACGCAAATGTGCACTGGGTTCCCTGCTGAATCTCCGGAATCCCGACCCAACAAGTACGCGCACCTGACGTCACCGGCCTGACCCTGTGTTCCAACCTCGCTGCAACCTGGTTCTTGACCATCTGGGCCTGGTGCACTGGAGGTGGTGTCGGAACCTGCATCGTCATCGGAAGTTTCCTCAGGTTGCAGTTGTGGCGGCAAGACTGACACTTTCGGTTCGGACTTTTGTACGGGTACCGTTGCTCATGGCCCATGGTAAACCACACGCTGAATCCAAAAGCGCGACATCATGTTGGTCAGGGGAGGGCAGCCTATACGGATTGATCGCACTGTAACAGCACCTGCGTCAGTAAGAGCAACCACTGCATCGTCAATGTCTGTTCTACCAACGAAAATGCCTTTGAACCACCGGGGTTTGCCTTTACTGATGGACTTTACATTTGGCAACTTGCCCATGACTACTTCACCAAACTGCACTATAGAGGACGTGTACTCTCTATACCGGCCACTATCTTGAAGGCTGTCATGTTGTCGTTCGTCACATGATACCTTGCCCAAACGAAGGCTACCCAATGACACAACCAAGGCACAACATTGTGGTTGATGTCCAATGGCGGGTTCGGCTTTGGGTATTTGGCGCGAAGTACGCTCAACCATGTCCGCAACATGCCTGCTATAAGCCTATTGGCATTTTCTGCTCCACCCTGGCTTTGGTGGCTGTATCCGGGGCTGGCCCGTGTTTGTCCCCTGTTAACCCCCAATTTTGTTTGCACTTGTTCAAAGCTGTAGAGGTTCCTCGGGATCATGTTGTAGGGTCACCTTTTGATACCCTAGGCGATTGATCCGAACCATCGGCGACTTCACCGCATACGCATCGACGCCTTTGTGCGGGATGAATACCATAGGTGGCCAGCCGGACGAGGTGTCAACACCGGTGAGGACGGTGGCTGCGCGGCTTTCTTCCTCCACAAGCCCACCATCCCGGCTGAAAACTGGTAATCCAACTGGATCACGGGGATTTCTGGATCGTCGTGTTTGTTTCGACGGGTGTTGGTCTTCCGGCGCTTTGCTTGCTATGCAGTGTGGACACCATGGCGCAAAGTCAGCATGAGTGAGCTCATGCAGCAGGCGACGTTCGTCGGACGGGGAATCTGGTGCACGCAAGGGTCTTGGCGCAACACTGGGTTCTGCAGGTGTTTGTTCTACATCGCCAGCATGCGCGTCTGCGTGCACAACATCACCTAAGCATCTTCCACTGCAGCTATCAATTCTGATATTTCTGATTGTGTTGTGGGGTCGCGCCGGTCTTCATACGGGAGGTAAAACCGTGCTCCAAACCTTGGCAACCCGATCACGTTCCCGTCAGGGGTGTGTATACAAGCGGTTTTGCCCGATGACGATCGGTAGAAATGCATATCGCAATCTGCTTCATCCAAAATTCGGCAAAATGGCATGACAGTTTCGGTAGTGTCGGTGATGTCCATCCGGAACGTTGCTGGGATGATTTTCGTGGCACCACATGCGGCTGTTGCGGTGAGCTGGGTGGCCGCTTTCATTTCACCTTGGTGTTGTATGGGTGTGCCGTTGATCGCCCATAGTTCCTTAACTTTGGTTGGGTCAACGGTTGCTTGGGGAAACGCCGTTTCATTTGCGCAACTCGTCGTGGCTCCGGAATTGACCATGACGTACTTGGTGGCAACCTTCATTGCGGCTATATGGTTGCTAGGCGAACGGCGCTGGGATGCATCAAGCTCAACGGCTTTTGCCGGAGATTCTTTCAAAGCGAAACAAATGTTGGGGTTTCCTGGGGCTACTCCTCCTTGATGAATTTTCTTGCCTGAGGCTGCTGCGATTGCCGGATTGGATGCTTGCGACTGGCTGTTTGCGAGTTTTTGGCTCAATGCACTTACTTGTTGCTGCAACGCGGACACGTTTTCTTCCATCGTTGTTTCTACTGCATTGACGCTCGCTTTGTTGGATCCTTTAATTATTCCCTTTACCTTCGCCTTTGGGGTGCGCACGCGCATTGAAGTAGCACTCTTCTGTCGTATGGTTTTTCCCCTTTTCTGGGCCACAAATTGCGCAATGTTCTCGCTTCGCGCCTGGTTTGTCGGCGTTTTGTTTGCCTTTGCCTTTTTCCTTTGTTTTGGCATCACCCTTTGTGTTTGTTTTGGTTCCACCTCTGGCACTTTGATTCCCTTTGTGTCCTCCTGCCTTACCTTTTTGTTTTGGACCTTGCTCTGCTTCAACTTGTCGTGCTCAACATTGACCTGCATGCACCGAATTTCAGGTCTTCTCTTTTAGGCAATGCCGCAGGTGTAAAATAACGTGAGCATTTTCCGCTTTTTTTTGATGAACATTTTCAACTGGAAAGAGTTGTGTCCACATGAGCAATGTTCAGCCTCACACAGTGCTTCGACTTGTCGTGCTCAACATTGACCTGCATGCACCTAATTTCAGGTCTTCTCTTCTAGGCAAAGCCGCAGGTGTAAAACACCGCTGAGCAGTTGCCGCTAAACAATTTGGTATTTTTGATGAACATTTTCAACTAGAAAGAGTTGTGTCCACATGAGCGTAAAATAACGTGAGCATTTTCCGCTAATTTTTGATGAACATTTTCTACTAGAAAACGCTGTGTCCACATGAGCAATGCCCAGCCTCACAAAGTGCTTCAACTTGTCGTGCTCAACATTGACCTGCATGCACCTAATTTCAGGCCTTCTCTTCTAGGCAACGCCGCGGGTGTAAAATAACGCTGAGCATTTGCTGCTAAACAATTTGGTATTTTTGAAGAACATTTTCAACTAGAAAGAGTTGTGTCCACATGAGCAATGTTCAGCCTCACACAGTGCTTCAACTTGTCGTGCTCAACATTGACCTGCATGCACCGAATTTCAGGTCTTCTCTTCTAGGCAATGCCGCAGGTGTAAAATAACGCAACACCAGGACAAAAGTGTTTCCTCTTGACTAGCTGCTGCAACCCTCTCGCTTTGGACTCCTGAGAGGTTCCATATGAATCACATGGCGGATCACGGATCAGCTGGTTTGCTTTAAAAGAGTTTTAATTTATTCCGACTTGCACGCGAAATGAGGATTATTGATCCGCGGCTGAGGATCATGGTGCGTATAAGACGCTAAACCTGAAAAACTTTTTTCCTGATGAACATTTTCCGCTAAACAATTTGGTATTTTTGATGAACATTTTCAACTAGAAAGAGTTGTGTCCACATGAGCAATGCTCAGCCTCACACAGTGCTTCAGCTTGTCGTGCTCAACATTGACCTGCATGCACCGAATTTCAGGTCTTCTCTTTTAGGCAATGCCGCAGGTGTAAAATAACGTGACCATTTTCCGCTTTTTTTGATGAACATTTCCAACTAGAAAACGTTGTGTCCACATGAGCTATGTTGAGCCTCACACAGTGCTTCAACTTGTCGTGCGCAACATTGACCTGCATGCACCTAATTTCAGCTCTTCTCTTCTGGGCAATGCCGCAGGTGAAAAATACCGCTGAGCATTTGCCGCTAAACAATTTGGTATTTTTGATGAACATTTTCAACTAGAAAGAGTTGTGTCCACATGAGCGTAAAATAACGTGAGTGTCCACATGAGCAATGTTCAGCCTCACACAGTGCTTCAACTTGTCGTGCTCAACATTGACCTGCATGCACCGAATTTCAGGTCTTCTCTTCTAGGCAACGCCACAGGTGTAAAATACCGCTGAGCATTTGCCGCTCAACAATTTGGTATTTTTGATGAACATTTTCAACTAGAAAGAGTTGTGTCCACATGAGCAATGTTCAGCCTCACACAGTGCTTCAACTTGTCGTGCTCAACATTGACCTGCGTGCACCGAATTTCAGGTCTTCTCTTCTAGGCAATGCCGCAGGTGTAAAATAACGCAACCCCAGGGCAAAAGTTTTTCCTCTTGACTAGCTGCTGCCACCCTCTCCCTTTGGACTCCTGACAGGTTTCATATGAATGACATGGCGGATCGCGGATCAGCTAGTTTGCTTTAAATGAGTTTTAATTTATTCCGACTTGAAATACGATCCGCCACGCAGGCCACGCGAAATGATTCTTCCTGATGAACATATTCCGCAAACCAATTTGGTATTTTTGATGGAAAGAGTTGTGTCCACATGGGCGTAAAATAACGTGCGCATTTGCCGCTTATTTTTTGATGAACACTTTCAACTAGAAAGAGTTGTGTCCACATGAGCAATGTTCAGCCTCACACAGTGCTTCAACTTGTCGTGCTCAACATTGACCTGCATGCACCGAATTTCAGGTCTTCTCTTTTAGGCAATGCCGCAGGTGTGAAATAACGTGAGCATTTTCCGCTCATTTTTTTGATGAACATTTTCAACTAGAAAACGTTGTGTCCACATGAGCAATGTTCAGCCTCACACAGTGCTTCAACTTGTCGTGCTCAACATTGACTTGCATGCACCGAATTTCAGGTCTTCTCTTCTAGGCAACGCAGCAGGTGTAAAATACCGCTGAGCATGTGCCGCTCAACAATTTGTTTTTTTGACGAACATTTTCAACTAGAAAGGGTTGTCTCCACATGAGCAATGTTCAGCCTCACACAGTGCTTCAACTTGTCGTGCTCAACATTGACCTGCATGCACCGAATTTCAGGTCTTCTCTTCTAGGCAATGCCGCAGGTGTGAAATAACGCAACCCCAGGACAAAAGTTTTTCCTCTTGACTAGCTGCTGCAACCTTCTCCCTTTGGACTCCTGACAGGTTTCATATGAATCACATGGCGGATCGCGGATCAGCTGGTTTGCTTTAAAAGGGTTTTAATTTATTCCGACTTGAAATACGATCCGCCACGCAGGCCACGCGAAATGAGGATTATTGATCTGCGGCTGAGGATCATGATGCGTATAAGACGCTAAACCTGAAGAAACATGTTCTTCCTGATGAACATTTTCCGCTAACCAATTTGGTATTTTTGATGAACACTTTCAACTAGAAAGGGTTGTGTCCACATGAGCAATGTTCAGCCTCACACTGTGCTTCAACTTGTCGTGCTCAACATTGACCTGCATGCACCGAATTTCAGGTCTTCTCTTTTAGGCAATGCCGCAGGTGTGAAATAACGTGAGCATTTGCCGCTAAACAATTTGGTATTGTTGATGAGCATGTTCAACTAGAAAGAGTTGTGTCCACATGAGCAATGCTCAGCCTCACACAGTGCTTCGACTTGTCGTGCTCAACATTGACCTGCATGCACCGAGGTGTAAAATACCGCTGAGCATTTGCCGCTAATTTTTTTGATGAACATTTTCAACTAGAAAGAGTTGTGTCCACATGAGCAATGTTCAGCCTCACACAGTGCTTCAACTTGTCGTGCTCAACATTGACCTGCATGCACCTAATTTCAGGTCTTCTCTTTTAGGCAACGCCGCAGATGTAAAATTCCGCTGAGCATTTGCCGCTAAACAATTTGGTATTTTTGATGAACATTTTCAACTAGAAAGAGTTGTGTCCACATGAGCAATGTTCAGCCTCACACAGTGCCTCAACTTGTCATGCTCAACGTTGACCTGCATGCACCGAATTTCAGGTCTTCTCTTCTAGGCAATGCCGCAGGTGTAAAATAACGCAACACCAGGACAAAAGTTTTTCCTCTTGACTAGCTGCTGCCACCCTCTCCCTTTGGACTCCTGACAGGTTTCATATGAATCACATGGCGGATCGCGGATCAGCTGGTTTGCTTTAAAAGGGTTTTAATTTCTTCCGACTTGAAATGCGATCCGCCACGCAGGCCACGCGAAATGAGGATTATTGATCTGCGGCTGAGGATCATGATGCGTATAAGACGCTAAACCTGAAGAAACATGTTCTTCCTGATGAACATTTTCCGCTAAACATAACCAATTTGGTATTTTTGATGAACACTTTCAACTAGAAAGAGTTGTGTCCACATGAGCAATGTTCAGCCTCACACAGTGCTTCAACTTGTCGTGCTCAACATTGACCTGCATGCACCGAATTTCAGGTCTTCTCTTTTAGGCAATGCCGCAGGTGTGAAATAACGTGAGCATTTGCCGCTAAACAATATTTTTGAGGAACATTTTCAACTAGAAAGAGTTGTGTCCACATGAGCAATGTTCAGCCTCACACAGTGCTTCAACTTGTCGTGCTCAACATTGACCTGCATGCACCGAATTTCAGGTCTTCTCTTCTAGGCAATGCCGCAGGTGTAAAATAACGCAACATCACTAGGACAAAAGTTTTTCCTCTTGACTAGCTGCTGCCACCCTCTCCCTTTGGACTCCTGACAGGTTTCATATGAATCACATGGCGGATCGCGGATCAGCTGGTTTGCTTTAAAGGGTTTTAATTTCTTCCGACTTGAAATGCGATCCGCCACGCAGGCCACGCGAAATGAGGATTATTGATCCGCGGCTGAGGATCATGATGCGTATAAGACGCTAAATCCTGAAAAAAAAAATTCTTCCTGATGAACATTTTCCGCTAAACAATTTGGATTTTTGGAGGAACATGTTCAACTAGAAAGAGTTGTGTCCACATGAGCAATGTTCAGCCTCACACTGTGCTTCGACTTGTCGTGCTCAACATTGACCTGCATGCACCGAATTTCAGGTCTTCTCTTCTAGGCAACGCCGCAGGTGTAAAATACCGCTGAGCATTTGCCGCCAAAAATTTGAAGAACATTTTCAACTAGCAAA